TGTCGCAGTTTTCTCGTTCAATACATTTATTCTTTTGATATTAAGAACGATATGATAGTCAGACTGAGTGTATGGATGTGAGTGTGAGTGTGGGGTATGGCTTCGAATGTTAATGAAAGCTTAATATCGACATTCCACCCATAGTCTTTTTTAGAGGACTTTGCTGTCGGATTGAGAAACAAGTTGTTTAGTTACCGAAAGGGATTACTTTTACACAATACACTCACCACGAATAATTTTCCGATTTCTCCATTTTCCGAAAATAACGAGAATAAGCTTTCCAATCAATGGTACAACTAATCGAAGGCCTCGATTGAGTCCACTACAAACTGAAGCAAGCAACAGAATCGCAATGATGATATTCCGACGTTTGGATATTGTATATGAACAGCTGAGAGGGGCACATTGGTGGTAGTACAGAACATAACGATCATCACTGATGATCGATGTTTCCAAAAGCATTTGATTGATTAAATCTAATGTATTGCCATCGAATCGAGTCGGAATTGATGTATTGAGCGGCTTGATATCCGGCGAAAACTCAGAAATGATCACACAAGCGTATGTTGCCCGTATATTGTCAATATGAATCTTATTGTACCACCAGTCGGTGAGAGAGCTGAAGAATCCAACCAATGGGGTGCAACCCACAAATATTTCATAAGAAATTGCCAGAAATTCGAAGACGTTCGATCCATTCGTATACAGGATAGAATTCAAAAGGCAAACATCAGAATTAATTGTGCATGAACATGATTCAAGAAACATTGCGCCTTCGGCAGTTATGTCTGCCAATTGGTAAAGCAATACATCCTCAATATTTACTTTGTCGTCATTGTCTACTGTAACTTGGAAATTAACGTTTGATCCAGATAAAAACTGATTGATAGCACCAGCAATATTAATCCAATTTAGAATACGCACAAAGTTGTTAAGGGTTTCATTGATAAATGCTTTAGCTACCGACTGGGTTTGTTGAACGAACAAGGATCGAGGAAGAAGATGATTGCTAACGAAGGGTGTATTGGTGAAAACACGTTGACTATCTTCAATATTGCTTGTAGCCAAAGAGCAGAAAGTAGCCAAAAGTTGAAAATATGACACACCTGTAGGGCGAAAATCTCGTGAATATCTTGTCTCTGTCCATGGAGGTATAAGAGTCGGATCGAACAAAGACAGATAATTTAGCCACATTGGTGAAACTATATCGCTCGAACACACTTGATGTAACACAAATGTTACATTTAGAAATGTTCCATAGGGTACGGACAAACGTGTACAAGAACATTGTATGGTATTTGAGTGTTCATTGAATAGTTTCTCATAGATTTCTAGTGATGGATACATGACAGTGACGATTTGGCTTTGGTTGGATATAAATATGTAAAAGCCAACGGTGACCGAGCAAGTGACGAATAGTAAAATGAAGAGTCGTGTAAAGAAATACTCACGCATTATATTAGTGTCTGTTCGGATTTTCTTACTTTCGAAAAGATTTAACTTATTCAGTTGATGATAAACGAAATTTGCTTGACGGTGAAGATGACCAAAGGTTGTTATTTCTAAGAAGATTTTAGATTTAATAGAATATAAAACTTTTTCTACAAATTGCATGTTCAAACTCTGATGGCCAATCAAAAAAAAATTATTTTCAATATAATGATAGTAGAAGATCTTTAATGCGAGTATTTGCTGCATAAAAAAAATGAAGCACGAAAATTTTTTAAGTAACATTTTTTCGGCGATTCACTGGATATGAAATAAGCTTAGAATATGCAACTTTTTCATTGATTCTTTAGATTATTTCCAAAATTACCAAAATCAAACATTTTGAAAGATGAAGTATCTCATCTAGAGAGATGCAATATAAGACCCACTCGAAGGAAGGGTACCCTATCAATTAACTGAATGATGTAAACATCAAGGATTCACTTTCACAACTTCTCTGAGAGTCAAATCACAATATACTTTTCATATGAATTGTTTCACAGCTTGAAAGATTAGTGTTTCAGAACACTCTTACAGAATCAGAATTGCACTTGAGAAAAATCGAGAGAATATTGCAATTGCTGTTTTGAATAGAGTGCAACTACCAGCATTCGAGTTATTACATAATTCTTTTTCACTTACGTATACGTGAAACAGTCGGATCATTATGTGGGCTGCTGTTATTTGAAGTGCTTTTGGCTTTCCAGGAAAAAAATCCTTTTACAATAAGTGGTACCATCAGATGTAAGATAGACGACAGAGCACCAAAGGTTCCAAGAATTGTAGTAATAATGAAGAGACGTGAAAACCGATGAGTGTATGAGAAAGCACAATAGGCAGGCTTGCATTGACTGTAAAATGAATCGAACATTATTTCACTATTCAATTTATCAATCATTAAATCATCGAGAAGCGTTTGAATAGTAGAATTTATCAGAAAGTGGTTGTTGGAATAATTAGACAATAAGCTCACCGTTTCTATCGATTGCTTATGTAAAAGACGAAAGCATGTTAAATCATAATAACATTCTAGTGTAGAACCCAACGTTGAATCAACAACATAACAATCAACTATCATTCCTGGAACTACTACCAATTGATCTCGGCTGTCCTTGATAAGAGCTGGACGTGGACATCCGGTAATAGACAAGCACGAGCAATTTTCGAATACCACTGGTAACATTTTTGGGTGATTCCAATCTCCAAAATTCGATAGCGGATATCGAAGATAAAAGTTGGTTCCCAAAGCTGATACATATAGATTCCCAGCCATAGTCCGTCGAATAGCAAGTAAAATCTGAGAAAATCTTGTTTGAGCCGAAGAAATCTGATTATTGAGCTCTCCTTGAGCTTGATGACGAAGAAATTCTTCGGTAACTGCCATCGGACTAAGAATGCGTGNTTTGGTGAGTGTGTGTGGGTGTGGGTGTGGGTGTGGGTGTGGGTGTGGGTGTGGGTGTGGGTGTGGGTGTGGGTGTGGGTATGGGTGTGATTGTGAGTGTGGGTGTGGGTGTGGGTGTGTTCCTTCTCTTCATTACACCCGCACCCACACCCACCCACCCCCATCCACACTCACACCCACACCCACCCTGAAGTGTACAAACTGAAGAATCATTTTAATCTCTGCATGCAAGACAATGACGCAGCGTTATGAATAACAAATGCGAGGGTGTGGGTGTGACCCTTTACCCATTCCACACCCATCCTAGTTTAAGAAATCACTCTAATAATTTACTCATAAAAACCAAGTAATAAAAGCTGAGCATACTGAGTAGATTTCAGTGATGTTCTTTTTAACTTCGTCAGAGATTGTGTATGTCAGGCTGGTATGTTGTTTTTCAAATGCTTCGTTTTTTGTTTGTACATCATGGCAACGTTTCAGTCACCATTGCCGTTTTGCTTCGCCTCCGTGTTGTTGTTGTTGTTTTTCTTTTTGAATTTTTTTCAACTACACCTTCTACTGAGAAGGACTGCACATAGCAATAATAAAACATTCAAAACGAAGGCCACAAGAAGATTGATTGCAAACAAGAAAAACATCACTTCGTATGGAGTATATTGACCAATGTTTAGTAATTATCATCGTTCAAAAATAGACGACAGCTAACAAACATGAACATTTGTGGGTACTTACGAGAAATTTTAATTATAGGCAACCAGTAGAACATTATTTTTTAATAATTGCTTTCATATTCTATTTCATCGTGAAATAAACGAAACTTATATGATCATGAGCATCAGAGAATTTTTCTCTAGGATGATTAAAAATATCGATGATTTTCAGCATAATTACTATATGTTAAATTGAATTCATATTTTAGATGATCCGTCACACTCATCTTATTTCTTCAATGAAAAAAGCACAAAAAAAGTTTGCCTGTTGTTCATTTGAACTTGAAATTTAAAAAAATATTTATATTGCAAATAACAAAATGCTTTGAAAAATAATTAGTTTATTTACTATGCGAGTGTGTAAGTCAAAGAAAACTTTGACCCATATCCGTCCTCAAACTCGAAAACAACATATTGAAAAAAGAGTAGCAATAAAATCTTATTACTGATACTTCAGATCGTCGATGTTTGTTTGCATTCAAAGAATTATCATCTGTTGTTAAAACTTGTCGTCATAGATATTAGTAATGGAAGAATTCTAATAAAGATTACTTATTTTTCAAGGTTTTGAGTCATATCAATCAAAAATAATAATTGATCAGTCATCAGATATTTTTATTTTACATAAAGAAAATCTTTCTATAGATACTACTACTAGGTCTGGACTATAATTTTGTAAAGAGATTGAGACGTGCTTATAGTCATTTGAATGAGTTGGCATCAAGTTGATTTTCATCTTGAAATATTTTATTAATAGGGAATGATTCATTTTCTTTTTAAGTTAAAATCAGAATAATAATAGTTAAAATGTTCAATTTTTTTCGAAATAGGTTAAACAATAGGTGGGAGAAATAGATCATACTAGTTTTCGAGTACTCAAGGGTGTGGGTGTAGTTGCATGTGAAAAGAGGAGAAACACAACCACGCAAGCCTACACCCATCCACATCCACGCCCCTTAATTTAATTAGGCTAGAGAAGTTATGTGAGCTCTACATTATTTCTCCAAAGGGACTGTCCTAACAAGCTTCCTTGCAGTATTTATGGGATTTGTTTAACATTCGCTGTCAAACCTTTTAATGGCTTTTACTATGGTTGATAGGAATGATGTACGGTGTCACGAGTGGGTGTATCAAGCGTGTAGATAAAGTGCTGATGTCTTTCGTATTTATTGCATTATGTTCAATAAATGAATAACATTGAAGTTGAAGCAAAGTAAATTTTTTTCTATACTGAATGAAACCTTTAACAATGTGTCTACTGATTCTCCATATCGATACATATTATAATCTCAAATTGACATGTGTTATTTTTGCCTTGGGCACTCTTGATGAAAAGTTAAACTATTCTCGAAATAAACATAGTTTTGTGCTCAAAAATGCCTGCTTTTCGATGGAGGCGGTTAATAATGCTGTGAGCAGATAAGAGCTTCTGATGTGTGTCTCACCTTAGAGACACCTTGGTTGTCTAATGGAGAATTGCAACTTGCTGGTTTGAACAGGTAATGTTTTATATTATAGCGGTTCGTCCATACAAATAATAACACTGATAGAACACAAATGAGTGCAAATGTGAGAAATAAGCCACTCATTTGTTCAATTGTCATACTCTTTGATGTGTCGAATGTGTCGGGACAATTCCTTGTTTGAAACCATTTTGCTTTTAAATTATCAAGATCACCTGATTCTCTTAACGATAATATATTGACATTTAAATCTTGGTCATATAGCCAATTTTTCGGAATCACAATTCCGAATGCGCTGCTACAGAAATCTCCAGGTACCAGCGTTAAATTACAATATATATTATTTGTCATATATTCTAGAACACCACTATCCATAATAGACACATCAATAGTACCAAGTAATAGACTGCGATATATATCTTGGGCATTATTTAATGCATGAAAATTCATATTACCTTCAGAAATTTCTTTCACATAATAGTCTTCCATAGCCGTACCGACAGCAATACCAATGCGATTATATGGAATTTTGCCTTTCTTTATATCATCAATTCCAGAAATTATATTTTGTGACTTTCCTATTGTTAAATCAGATGCTAAATTGGCAGTATAACTTGCTACTAATACTAAACTCAGAAGATATAATCCGACAGTCAATAAACGCCCGGCCGCTGTCGCAACGCGAAAATCTGCACCATATCCCATAATTGTGCCAATAGAATACCACCAACTCATTGCAACAGAAGAAAGAAATGATCTATGTTGTAATTCTAGGTTTTCCGAGTGTTCCAATAGACGCATAAATAAACCAGCAAAGAAGCTGGCAGCTAAGAGCATTATCCAAAGATTAGTCGAGAATGGTCTCAAATAGGCAAGTACATATACATTACTCATTTGGTTTGTTCGTACAATGAGACGAAGTGAATTATCGAATATTGAATTCGAAAACTCGACTATTTCACTTCGTGCAGCAGTAATTGTGACATCACCTACGACTATATCATAAACACCGTTTGCGACTGCATCGACCAATCCGGCGTAAGTCTGATTTGAAGGTGCTAATATAATCTGAGAAACAAATCCCATCCTATTTTGTAAAAGATTAATAAGGTCGGGCACATAACCAATTAACGTTGTTTGATTTTGTCCATGTTCATCTATGACATTTGATATAGTTGTAAATGGAATTGATTCAATAACACCAATGCGTAGGCTTACATTGGCAAGTCTTGCAAGACCACTAGGAGGTACTACGGAGTTACCTGGCCACACAATCATATTCGATGGTTGCACGTCTATCCAACTGGTATCATCAGACCATTCCAATACAGATACATAATCCACGGTATTTGAAGAATATTGAATACTTTGTACTACGTAATATGAGCCATTTATTCGATTTGTTACATTTGCACTAAACTGTAAAGGACCGGAAACACCAAGAAATTTGGTATCGATGATTCTATTGAAGAAAGAATTAGAATTGATAAAATGACTATCAAAACAGAATGAAGAATTGACAATCGATATACAGGAAGAAACATTGTTTGTGTTTGTTGAACAAAGTTGTTGCAATGACTGAATTAATAACCAAGTCGCATCAAATGCAAATAATGCATAGTCATTAACATTTGTCAATCCAGGAAACGATCCGGGTTCGTACTGTTGCCATATTTGATATGCTGCATTTAACAAAGTTTTGTTTATGGGTTTGCCCAAAAATGCTCCTAATGTGGGTTGGATTGTAAACATTCCAATTAATTTTTCATGAAACTTTTGATTGAACGTATCCAACGAAATACTTGAACTTAATATCCATGTAAAGAGTGGACCGAGTACATCAGAATCAAGTGCAGATTGCAGAATCAAAGAGACATACTTTGGATGAGCCCACGATATTACAATTCGTGATGAACAACTAGTTAAATATGTTTGTAAATTACCTTGAATTTCTAATGTGGCAATATCAAATATAATACTTCGTCTCACCTTCAAACCGTATCTATTAAATGCCTGTGTAATTGCTTTGACGGCACCAAATCCAAAAGCATCATTTTGATAAATAATTATGCATGATGTCCAATTAAACTTAATGAATAGTTGTGCAATTGATAATGCTGCTGTATCATCGGAAGGAACTGTACGATAAAATGCAGGATATATCTTTCGATCAGCTAACTCAGGATCGGTTGCAGCATAAGATATGACTGGAATACCAATTCTGTTGGCAAAAGGAGCAATAACAAGAACTTCTCTTGACAACTCTGGACCAACAATACCGACGATGCTTCCTGTTGATACTGCTGAACAAACACTACTAAAACAATCCATTACATCACCACTGGTTTGCATAATTTGCCATCCAAAAAACTGTCCATCAATTGTCATGTTATACTGATGAGAAAGAAATATGGCTGCTTTAAACATTGCACGGGAATGTATAGAAATTTCATCAGATTCAGATGTGTTTGATATATCTTCAAAGAGACCTAATAGTTTAATTTTTGAAAAGTCTGCTGATGACCATGTTGTTTGCATGTATTTTGCAGCACATTGCTTGATGATTAGAATTAAGAACAGCGATCGGAAGTTCCACAAGTACAGCATCAATGTGTTTGATTGAAAAAGAGTTATTATGTTTGCTTAAAGTTTCAAAAAATACAGCCGAAAAGCAGGCTAAAATTTAACACATTGTAATTAGGTATAGAGTAAATTCATTTCTTATTGAACTGTAGTTTTTTTAGTTTCTCTTCTCATTCAGTATTACTTAATAGAACTCGGACACTAAGATGAATTTTTCGATGAATGAGACCACTACTCACACCATTTTGTATGAAACTTATGCTGAAGAAACTTCGCTTCTACCGTTACAACTTATAAAAAAGTAACGTAAAAATTCGGGAGCTTGTTATTAAATGCTAACAATATTTCAATGTGCAAAATATATCCGATTAGAATTCCTTTAATCGTTTTCATTAATTACATGACCAAGCAAACTCACCATTTCGTAGAAAAATCGACAGGTCATTTGTCTGTTCAAAATTGTATGTCATTCATGTTTTTACTTTACTACGAAAAATATCGTCAAGCTTGTAATATCGGCTATCACAAAAAAGTGTTCTCTTACAAAACAAAAACGAATAATTCTTTCTGCAATTCAATATGAAACACATTTGTCCAGAAGATATTTACCTTTTACTTAAGATATGTTTTTTCTGTCACTCTAAATGCGACGGTCAAAGCTCTAATCAGGGAAGTTATCGAAAAGAGAAAGATAGCGAAAAGTAACAATTTCAAAATTCATTACTAAGAAAACTTGTTTACGAGATACGAATGTGTTTCTAGTGAATGTCGTCGGTTGATCGTTTGATTATGTTCCTTATTCATTATTTATCTTCAACTGATTTCGCAGATGTGATCTATAAAAAGACTTGTCTCAGAGAGTGGTGGTTAAGTTCGTAGTTAGCTACGTTTTATTTGTCTTGAAGTTTGAAAATAACGAATTTTACAGACAAACGTTCCTTTCTCAGTAACTCTATAAAAGAAAATGAAGTACTCTGTTCAAGATTAGTAAAGAGATGACGTTGATTACATCATGAGATTTTATCCTAGTTGTAGAATCAGAAGTGTCTTACTTTCCTTTCACAATATTGTCAGGAACAGAAAATATGAACTTTTGATGTGTGCGTCAATAACAAAGAAAAAACAAGATTTACTAAGAGCCAAATAAATGTTGTGGTTGATACTACATTAAAAAAATAAATAAAGAGAAAAAAATCATTAGGCTGCATTAATGTTGCACTTAGTATCACATTAAAAATTCATACCTCATCAAAAATCAATAAAAGTTTCTGTCATTGAATACGAAATACATTTATCCCCAGGATATATACCTTTTACTTAAGTCATGTTACTTTTTCTGTCAGTATAAATCAGAAGATATATGTTTTGATTAGTCGGCTTATCAAATTGAGAAAGAAGTTATAAAGTAGTAATGGATGTGAGTGTAGGCGTAGGTGCCGGTGTGGGTACGACGGTAACTTTAGGACTTCTTTTCGTTCATACCCATACGCACACCCACCCTTTAGCCATATGAAACATGCGTGGGCTTATAGTCCAACTGTAAGATGAAACGTAATGAGTTTTTCACATTTGTTTGAAATGCACCTGGATTAATCGAATTTATTAGATGATCATAAGAGTATAGGCTGATAAAAAAAAAACTTTGTTATACCGGATTTCCTATTCAACAGGTCTCAAACTTCACCCACACCCACCTCTCCCTTTTACCTGGACATATTTTATGAAGAAGTACCGTGGCATCCTACTTGAGAAAAGGGTTTCGATTTCGCACGTATCTTTAGAGATTAAGATGACTATTGGTTATGTTTTATTAGCTCTAATCTGACGAATGATGATTTCAAAAACGATTAAAACAATGATGAAAACATTGTTGATGCTGATCAAAAATATGGCGAAGATGATGACACTGAAAATGATAAAAATAATGAATTCACAAGTGGTAAGACATGGCTAAAAGTGTTTTCTATTTAAATGAGTTTAAGAGGTTTTGAGGTTGTTTAAATCATCGAAGTCTTTGCAATATCTTTATAACATTTTCCGAACCTTTTGTGTCAATTTCTACAATAAAAAATTTTGTCAAATACATAAGTAATTTTTTTCATAACATCTTTCAAATTAACGTTTCGCTACTTGCAACATTAACTTTAATCTCAATAGATTTTTGCTGAATATAGAGATTTATTAGTTAGACAGAAAATATAAATAAATTGTTTTTTTTTATTTAGAATTTCTGATAGTTCCAATTAGATACGATGTCTCTTTTTCTTTTTGAGTTCTACATTTTATTTAATAACCTCATGCAAAACGGACATACATGATTTTTTCTGATCCTATTCATTTGTTGTAGTACAAATACCACAAGAAATTTGAATAAAAGTCTTGAATTCCCTAAATTGATAATATATGGTACATTCGTAAAGTACGACAAATTTTATTTGTTTGTAATATTACAATATGAATAGTATTTTAATTTCTAGTATAGGGAATGAGGATTTATTTCATACTGTCATTATCTGATAATTTGTATTTTATAAAATCAGTAAGTTTTCTGTTAAAAGAATTATTCCATAGAATAAATTTTTATTCATTTATTATGTTTGATATTGTAATATAAATTTGACTATTAGGAAAACATGCTTCAACCATCGAACGATATGGTTCGACTTTTTCATGACTTATCACACCAGAAATATCAAGAAAACAAAATTTCTTCAAATGTTCAACTAATTGACAAAGGTCTTTTTGACAAGCACTTACCCGTTGAGCTAGATGAGAAAAACAGAAAATTTATTGCTTATTTTCTCTTCTCACATTAGTTTGTTTCATTTATTTGCAGACTAATCTATTCAGAAGCAAAGAGAGAATCATACCATTGTGCAGCTGAAACTACACAGCAAAAGTGTGATTTGATATCTGGTCGAACTTAAAGAAAAAGAATAAATAAAAATGCACCTTTTATTACAGACTAGCTTTTGAACTCGTAGTATTTTTTTCTTCTTCTTTTATTGAAATGATTGAAATATTCTCGTAAAACATATTCTATTTTTTATTTGGCTTTTATTTTGAAAAAATGCCCATATTCCATATTTTTCTCATACAAACAAGCAAATATTTTTGAACATTTGTCTTTTTGGAAAAGCAACAAATTTTTTACAGTAAAAGAGAAGAATTTCAAAAAATAAGAAAAAACTTGTTAGCACAGTTTCAAAGGGCCTAAAATTTGGCATTCATGTATATTCTTGAGCCGCGCTGAACCAATACAAAATACATAAAAGTGAAAAATCTTTCGGACGACTACTTGTTTTAGGGTGTGCGGTGTTCATATGGATGTAGAAGTTCTCGTAATCCAGACCCACACCCTACGTTTACATATTGCATATACTTTCTGTACAGCTATTGCAAACTCTCTCACGTGTGTATTGAATCATCCGAACACATAAATTCTCAAAATTTTTTGCATAGTATGGGTGTGGGTATGTGATTGGCTGTGGATGTGAACCTGAATGTAGTATATGGATCTCTTCTTTATTCACACCTACAACCTCGAATTCGATGATAACGTTATCTCTGTGATAAGCGCAGTCATATTTAGTAAATCGGTTATACATTATATTACTTCATATGCTTTCATTTATACTATTTGATGAGTCCGCTTTTTTTTGCTAATTTTTTTGTATTCTAATGATTGCCGGTCCAACAATTATAAAAACGTTGTGGCACTGGGCATGTTCAATGGATAAAACACCCACACCCACACAAGGTGCTCGTTTGAACCATAGTTTTACTGTTTGACCTTTAAAATTACCTTGTCTACGAATGTTTATGTCGAAGCGAACTATGAAATCTCTCACTAGTGAAACGAAGATTTGTAATGTTTGTCGTATGCTGTATAAAAAATGGAAAAATGAAAATTCTGAATTTTCTTCTATCCAGACACGTTTGGAACATGACATGATGGCGGAGAATGACGACGATGATAATTCAGTATTTTTTTTTTTACCGTTTTCAATATTTTGTTTATAGGAGTGATGCTATGGACGTTCATGTTCAAACTGATGATGCTTCTTTTCAATGGCCGGTACAAAGTTCAACCGTGATCAAGATCACAAATCTTGAAATTATTACATTACAGCTGAATGCGACTTCCTCATAACATGAGTGAGTAAAATATTCATTTTCATAAGTTGGAGCTTAAAAAATTTTCATTAGAAAATGTAGTGATTGTCGTGACGATCTTTATGGTAATGCGGTGAACATTCCATCTAAAGATCGATATATTTTACTCTTTTCGCGCAATATTTGGATTTCAGAGGATGCACGATGTTGCTCAGGTCATTTAATTGGTAATCAATTAACTAAAGAAGCTGTTCATGCAATTAAATCATTCGCAATACGACATCAAGAATTAAAGTGTTCTAATATTCAACTTCTTTTGAACAAATCTCAGACCTTATTTGAAAATGAACAGAGTAGATTTAATTTTGATGATCTACGAGGCCTTACAGATGATGAATATTGTTTATTAACTAGTCTTTCAAAAAATTATTTTAATGAACTTATTGAAATTATTTCAACATCTGGTATTCGTAATTCATTTAATCGATCGATAAGAACAGCGATTGATATTTACTTATGTAAACTTTGTCTTGGGCTATCAAATCGTCACTTAGCGTGTATGTTTCAATTACTAGACAAGAGAACAATTTCCAAAACTATTGCTAGTGCCCGTCAAGCTATATTAAAAAATTGTGTACCATACAATTTGGGACTCGGACGAGTTACACGTCAAGATGTTATTGATCATCATACAACAACAATTGTTCGAAAGTTAATGTGTGATGGTGCTGATTCTAATACAGCAATCGTTGTCATTGATGGCACTTATATTTACATTCAAGTGAGAAATAATTTACTATACTTTTAAGGCATTTTTTTCTAATGTTATTTTGTAGAAGTCTCGAAATAATGAATTCCAACGAAAAACATTCAACTTCTGTAAAAAGAAGGATCTTTATTGAAGCCAATGATGATTGCAACAACAACGGGTTATATAGTTGCTTGTATTGGATCCTTTTTTGAACTTTAAGAAGAATGACACCTCGATAATGAACGATATCCTACTTCGAAACATTGACAACATACTCAATTGGCTCGAAGAAGTAAGATTCTTTTCTTCCTGAAACGTCAATACATACTAATTTTCTTTAGCATGATATCTTGATAGTTGATCGAGGCTTCAAAGATTCTATTTCTGTTATGCAAGCTCTCGGTCTGGATGTTGCAATGCCACCATTTCTTGACGGTAAAAAAAACATTTTCAGCCGAAAAAGCAAATCAATCTAGATGCATTACAAAGGTGCGGTGGGTTGTGGAGACGGCAAATCGTCGTATTAAACAATTTACATACTTTGCCAATATCGTATAAAATTCGTCATTAATTCACTTAGAAAGCGATCTCTCAATTGCATGTGCTCTTATCAATTGCTATCGACCACCAATGACAACAACAAAACCAGAAGATTCAGAAGTTGGTCAAAAAATTATGAAATTACTTCATCAAAAAAATAGAATCATGCTGGTAAATAACTGTAAGAATAACGTTGTGTAACCTGTTTCATATTATTATTTAGCTTCTTGAAGAAAACAATCTCATTAAACGAACTTCACAATGGAAGACAATTAATCATTGTGAAATTATGAATTGCTTTCCGATTATATCAGAAGAAGATGTGGGAGATTTAACTTTCGGTAATAAGTTTAGATTCGATTTTTTTCGCCAATTTATCTTTCTGTAGGTGTCTTTCAACTAAAGCATGCCTGTTCGTACTCTGAAGAAAAGTGTTCTACCACGGATCTAACTGGCATAGTAGAGTACACCGTACAACGATGTAGAAGTATTTCAAACTTAATAAGTGTCCCAACTCAATCTCCACATAGTTATCGAACAATTTACCATCCTACAATACAATCTACAAATGAACAAATTCTCGGATGGTGGTGCGATTGTTATACTGGTGCTTGATTTCTAGGCTGCTGCAGTCACATTTCAGCAGCTATATGGTTCATCGGTTGTGAACGGTAGCAAACGCAAAAACGTCACATGCTATCCGGGAGCTGCATGAGCTTGGCAACATATGCTATACAAGTATCAGATTTTTATGACTCTTCTAATGGCAACGATGATGATAATTCTCGTTACTCATTACCATAAACGTCGCTAAATGATTAATTATTTTGAATGTTCATTATCAAATGCATGTTCCTCGTACACCTTACATCAATAAAGTTTTTCAAATCTACTAAAAGAATTAGACTGAACATAAATCTCTTACAAGGGAACATTCCCAGGTGCCCGAGCGATTTTCGGCCGGGACTTAGTGCATCTTGTAGACCTTAGTGCCCTATGTCCACCATAAAAAGGGTTCGTGCTTATGGCCTGTTTCTGAGGAGATCGAACGTTTTTAGTTTTATAGTTGAATATGTCCATAAGGTCTCAATCACATTATACAAAAATGATCTTTGGTTTCGATGAAACTTTCAGTGTTTGTAGANTCCACATCCACATCCACATCCACATCCACATCCACATCCACATCCACATCCACATCCACATCCACATCCACATCCACACCCAGAATGAGATGTAGGCGTGGTGTGGGCGTGAGTGTGGATGTCGATGTATCTATGATAAGGTAGTCCCACGCAGTCACACTCCAACCACATCCACCAGTACGCTCTGTTAGATAAGCTAGGGCTATTATCCGCGATCCAGATTTACTGCATTTTTATTATGGCCAAAAAATATCACACAATTGATCAAACTCTCAGTTTAATAGTGAGCAGAACAATATCTCACGTATGTAAATTTGTGGTAAGGCAGAATCGTTCATGAAAATTTAACTGTAATTGTTTGGCTTGCTTGACTGCATGTTGACGTACCACTAATTCCACCCCAATTTCCATTTGTAATACATGCTCGAATAGCGTATGTGGCTGAGCACGTGCAGGTGCCTCCAACAGTTAATTCTACACTACCGGCACAGACATCAACTGCCCACGAGTATCCATTTGATGTTATCGGACCGTAAGTGCTATAATTCAAGAGTGCTGCAGCAATACCATTTACGACAGTTGAATCAGTAACATTCAAACCACTTGAACTAGCCGAACCGTAGAATTGTAGGAGTGTATAACTCGAGCAAGTTAATGAAGTTCGAAATGTACCCCATGCTGTACATTGGGCCGATGTTGGAGCTACCCCACTTGTGAAAGAGCTAGAGTAAGTTTGAGTTGTACAAAGTGGTGTTGTGGTAGTTACAGTGGTAGTGGTGACTGTAGAAGTTGTGACGGTCGTAGTAGTTGTAGTCTCCGTGGTAGTTGTTATGGTAGTTGTGGTGGTCACCGTGGTAGTTGTTATGGTACTTGTGGTGGTCACCGTTGTTGTTGTTGTCACTAAAATGATTTGGTTTAACAAGATCACGATCAAGTTTCCTAATTCTCTGCTTACACTATGTTTACTTTTTTCACTATTCAAAACTGTTGTAAAAGCGAAAGTTGTGAGTCTAACAAAAACAAATTATAAATAATTCAGGTGAATCATGCGCGCCCATAAATGGCCCTTCACTAAAGAAATATACGGCGAATAACGGCGATCGTTTACGTTACCCATTTACGGTACTAGTGAAAGACAATTCACAGCATATTACGACAATCGTACGCAGTGCCCGTAATAAGCCGTCGTAAGCTACTACCATAACAATACTGTGACTGTATACATTGGTCACAAAACAACGTAAAGCATCGTATTCATCAGCCGTTTCCGGTAACTGTTTACAACAGTTATTATGACCTTTGTAAACATTGATGCTAGAGAATCATCGAAAACGACTCGCGCGACAATATGACGACTGTATATGCTGATATTATAAAATGTTGTAAACACAGTGTACATAAGCAGTATACAGCAGTCCCGTAGGGCTATCGTAAACGATGTTTTACGATGATTTCCGGCCATCATAAACAACTGCTATAAAAGTTACCATGTACAACTTCTGTAATAAAATGCCGAATGTATACGTTCATCGCATAACATTGTGAAGTCCCGTCTCTGTCGGCTCTAACTCGTTGAATAAAATCACTATTTGTTATTATGTTTAATTGCAAATGATCGTCAATGTCGACGAGTTTCTATTATTAAATACCAATAACATACTCTCACTCAATGAAGTATACTAGTGGACAGGTAATAATAATCACGCTTATGTAAAGTTACGAAAGAGTGTCAGACTTTACCTTCTAATGTGAGCAATACTTTTATAGAATTTAAGCTTTTTAGAATGATATTTTCTTTGCTGGTTTGCTGTACATCCTCTTAGGTCCCTGTAAGATGCATGAGCGTCAGAAACGATATTACAACATAGCGGCAAACAAGTTACATACTTCCATAGTTTTTCTACGTAAAAAGGCTAAAAACTCGATTGACATTGCCTATTTTGGCAGGATGTGGATGTGGGTAGATGCAAGTGCGATAGATGTGAATGTCAGTGTAGATAAAGGTATAGAATAAACCCAAACTCATACCCACACTCCTCTCTTTCGTAAGGCGACACCTTTAATTAGAGAATATCACAAGTGCGGGTATCTATCACATAACAATCCTATTTTTCGATAGAAAAACTCATTAACATGTTGTAGCATATTGTTCGCAATTTTCCATCTCTCAGAAAGATAGTGGAAAATGCAGTCTATTTGAGAGTTTTATAAGTAGCTTTCTCAGATCACAAATAGTCTGAAAAAGTCTCAAAGCAGTCTTTTTCTCTGGATGCAAAGTCTCAAAAAAGTCTGAGTTGCATCTTTTTCTTTGAGTGCAAAGAGTGTTAAAATTGTCTGAAAGGAGTCAGTTGTTCTTTTGAGTGCTGAAATAGGTGCGGCTGTATACTTTGGAGTAACGGCCGTATATAGTGGTATTACGTTCGCTAACGGTGTCATATACGGCCATGTCTATCGGAGTCGGTATTGTGCTAAGTTGTGATTACGATCGTAAACTATCACCATATTGCGCCGTATAAGACGGCGAAATATGATCCTAATACGATCCCACGAAATACAGTGGAGATACGGCCGTTTCTGATCGCCAAAATTACGTATTAGTTTTTCAGAGAAGACATGGCTGAAATCTTTATCACAACATAATATGCCATGAGAAGATCATTGAATTTGTATTCATTTACCACCTACACTTACTTGTGTCACTATTTGATATTGTTGTTGTCGTCGTAAATGTCGAAATCAACCACATTGAAGTAACAGTTGCTAAACCTACTGCAGCTAATAATGCACCAATAGTCAAGCCAATCAGAAGTGCTTTGTGAGCTGCCAAAAAGTCGCCGCAACATCTGTTACATAAAGTGTATTACATCATATTCAAAAGCAATACTGTCAAGGGAGAAACGATGGATTTTTGAAATTCCGAATCCCTAAAAATCCAATGAAAATTCTGGGAATACCATACGAATCCTGGGAATCCTGGGAATACAATGGGAATCCTGGGAATGCAATGGGAATCCTGGAAATAAAATTGAAATCCTGGGAATCCTGGGAATACGAAATCCGCCGTTTCCCCCTAGAATATTGTTGTTATAGATGTGAAATTGGAGTACAAAATGAATCTCAGAAATAAAAGCGTCAGTCCCCATTTACTGTAGACATATCAAACATATAGATTAAGTTATAAAAAATTAAATTTAAACGGAATTAATGGGAAAATGATAACTCTGATCAGACAACTTAATATTGACTAAATCTAAATAGCAGATTCAATTACTTGCAGTGAGAAAATGATTGACCAGGATTTTCTATCATGAATTCATCTGTTGCTGACCAAGCAGATTTTGACATTTGAGAACTTGGCGGTTTGATGCATTGAGCTTGCCATGGCCATGCGTCCCATTGGCTGAAGCGCATGTCAAATTTTGGATCATTGGGTGAAGTAACACTTGCGTGAGAATTAAAATTTAAACTGTCTGATTTTGATCGTATCAGAAAGTTTTTCATAAGAATGCTTTCATTGCTGTTGCTTTCTCGCATACTAGAGAAGCTCTGAATTGAAATAAAATAATTTCTATTTCAACTTACTTTGGATATGTAAGTAAAATGTAAATCATTGCATTTTTTGTGAAGTCTTATTTTTTAATCAAGATAATTTCTATGCACTCTAATCAAAAAAATTGGAACTCAGGTAAACAATATTTTTCTATAAATAAATATTGATTGAATTTTCTTTTTCTATTAAACAACAGTGGCAACAATGAAAAAAGGCAAAGAACTAATTATTATTTGTTTGAGAAGAGAAACCTAGTAAACAATTCGCTTTCTTTTGATTAAAAATCCTTCACTGATATATACCACTCACAGAACAGGTTAGCGTCAGATGTAGTATTTTATTTTCTAGCATCAATCCAGACGAATTCGCACACGTTTATGGACTTTTGTCTCGCAAACTTTCAATGTTCTTATTTGTTTTCCTATCGAAAAACTTGTCATACCAATCTGCTAGAGTAAATATTTTTTTATAAGACTAGTTAACCAGTTCGAAAAGTATTGAAAACTGATAATTGGATCTTGATTTTTCTTGGAGCCTAACTGTTTCGTCCATTATTCCGGCTGAGGCAAATCAGCAAACATGCTGGCCAAGAAGGAAGCAACGAAAGTTTGGGTCATAAAACATTTGAAGTCTCGTGAAGTCTCGTGAATTTCCATAAAATCGTTTGAAATCTCTCCAAAAATTTGAAGTATCTGTTGCTGAAGTCGTGAAACCTGCTGTTTCTTCCTCGGTGATCATCCTAGCTATATCTTTTATTATTGAGCTTGGAAAACAATACCTATGTTATTTTGAACTAATTTAAGATAAATCAACACACTCAATCATTACTTCCATTAAAACAAATCAGCAATTCCTGTCTTTCTTGTAGATGCACCCAACATAAAAATTATTAATGACACTATGGCTATCTAAAACAGAATCTATACGTAAAACTTGGTGGAATAGTATCTTCATGTTCGTTGTACAATCAATAGGGACGAAGTTTTGATAGAAGCATTTAAAAACAATGATTACTGAAGTGGCTTTTATGCACTACCACAATGTAATAAAATTGCCTAATTCTATTATGACCACTGCAGAAATACATCACAAGTTTCCGATGAGATTGTTTTTTCCTATTTGTGAAAAAGAATACAATTCTTGGTCGCAATCGATGGTGACACTTAAAACAAGGTTCTCTCTAGCCTTGTCTTTATGTATATGAATACTAAACATGTCTTTGCTAATGGTAAAAAAATATCAACTCGTGTTTGCTAGAACCGTACCAGAGATATTTGATTGTTTCATTTAGAGATGATGGTGTCATTTCTTGTTTTTTCTCTTCAATCACAATCTATCTTAAGAAGGAAAAAGATTACAATACTGGCAGAAAATGAGCTCTTCATTTGCAATTTAGATGAGACACTCACTGTTTTCACTTTTATATTAAGCTTCTCTGTTGATAGCAATGCAACAATACATCGCAATACCTTTATTTTTCTTTCTTTTGTCTTATGTCCGCTCGCGTGCGCTGCGTTACAAATTATCGAATGATTCTTGATTTGCGCATATGCACATAAAATCGGCTAATACAAATAATAATGAGAAGCCTTAAGCACATATTACCATATGTATAAATCACATAAGAGAACGATGCTATAAATGAAACATAAAAACACAGGGTGGGGTGTGAGTGGGTGGTGTGTGGGTGTGGATGTGAGTGGGTGTGGGTGTGGGGTGTGGGTGTGGGTGTGGGTGTGGGTGTGGGGTGTGGGATGTGGGGTGTGGAGTGTGGTTGTTGGTGTCGGTGTCGGTGTAAGGTGTGGATTTGAATGAAGAAAGAATAAATTCAAACACACCCACGCCCACACCCTTCTTGGCAAGACTAACATTCCCTGAAATTTTGATTGAAGTCGGATGAGAAAATAACAAAGTTCGTTTCTGAGGAGGGGGGGGGGGCTTTAATTTTTGAAGATATAATATTAGAAAAAGAGCATCCTTCTGAAACCACGCGGGCTGGCATAACTATATTATGTTTTCCGGATTTAATAATGCAATCCACGATCACATAATAGTATTTTTGTGCAATGGCTACTTTTGTTTAATACTGTTTATTCGTTCCATTAATTATAGATATAAATAGTAGCCTTCGTTACATTTTATGGTACATACAAACTCGGCAAAAATTGGTCTGGAGTTATATTATATCATATCGTTGAAAAGTCGACGCTTCAAGCACGTACCGTATTAATATTAAACCATTTGTAATTAAGATCATAATAGTAAAGTAGAACATAGATTTCCAAAACGCATCATCCCGCTTATAGATATCAATAGTTGCCGCACAGTCAACAAAATTGATAGTGTCCTCAAACATATTACCAACAACACTCAGAGACAGAAAGAAAGAGAAAAACAAGAGAATCACAAAAAACGAATGTTCTCAGTGTTATTAAAACCTTCCGATGTCCAACCCAATCCGCCTGCGAAACTTCTGTGTCCGATTACGTTGTCGCTGTTTCAAGACCCAGTAGTGTGTGAACACGGCTTTACGTACGATCGAGAAACAAGTGAACAGTGGGTTCGAAATAGTGGTAGGAGTCCTATGACGAACATGCCCCTTGGGCTGAAATTTGTCCCCAATCAGGACATGAAAAGTCGTGTTTTGGCATGGAAAGAGAGGCAGACGTCATCCATGGTAATGCCATTATCGTTTCCGTCTCATGACGGTCTTTACGTCATCAAAAATCCCGAATTGGATGAGTTACGTTCGATAATCCACCAGTCTCTGCGCCACTTGAGCGGGCAGTTCGAAGTCGTTAGCTTTGAACGAAACATCGATGAAAGTTAATGGAAGTCCTACACGGCAAAGCGGAAGATTATGACTGATCAAGATGTTCCGATTCACGAAGCCTATGTATTCCACGGGTGTTCTTCAATCGCTTATCTGGACGCGATTCTTCAACGAAACTTCGACCCCAAGTTGAGTAATGGAGGTCCTTGTGGAAAGGGCGTCTACATGAGTAGCGCCATCGTTTACCTCATGCAAGCAAATAAGATTGCATGGACTAACCAAGAGAAAACGTAGTGCAAGATTGTTGCAGCAAGAGTAGTGTTAGAGCACTGTGTTGTAGGGACTAAAGAACTACAAGATGCTCCCAATGGTGCGCACTCTACATTTACATTAGCAATGGGTGGGCATGTTTTCTGCGTCTACAATGCTGCTCAAATCTATCCCGAATTAGTAGTACACCTAAAGAAGATTCCTGTCTTAGAAGGGGCTAATGTTGCAGAGTGGAAGGCAGCTGCAACTGAGGCTATTGCAAAAGCTGGAGCCACAAAAATTTCAGCAACATCTCTGAGAAACCCGCTTATTGAATTCTACGAATCACCTGAACATCCATGCGAATTCCAGTTGAACACGACCGAAAAGCTTAAGTGCAAAATCGTTGGGAGGAGCGACGATGAAAAGATAGCCGTGTTTCTTGCGCATGTGGAACGGGTTCGTGGTAATGATGAGGAAGAGGAAGAAGTTGTTTTCCTTGACAGAGCTGAAGTATTTCTGGATGAAACAGTTCCTATTGCGTTCCCTTGGAAAGAAAAGGGTATCTGCTTCCGCGCTCGGCATCTTTCAAAACCGCTCATAGAGATTTTGGGAAAAGACATCGAAGGCCTCACACCGACGAAGCCGGGAATGAAAACGACATTTTTTCTGTTTTCTCGACGTACAGACTGTACGGTGTAGCGATATTTTTTTATTGGGGTGCTGTTCATCATGCACTTACGAAAGACTTTAAGGGGCTCAATGATGTTGATATTACTTATGGACATCACCCTAAAATTATGAAAGACATTGCTACAGAGGTAGGATTCGGACCTGTTGAAATAGTGGGAGGCATTAAAACACAATGGGGTACTGTGAAGTTCGTGATGAAGGGTAACCAGATACAGTCCTGTATCATAAGGTGGACCCCTTGCTTCACCCAGAAGTAAAGCAAAACTCGCATTGTATCCAACGATCTCATTGAAAACTTGATAGCGATGAATTTTACTTGCAATTCTGTGGCGTTCGATCCTGTGCAAGAAATGTTTATTGATCCTTCAGGGTACGGACTGTACGACATCGAGAAGAAACTTCTTCGCGCCACTGTGGATCGAGAGAACTGGGATCTTTGATACTCTCAGAACAAGCGCACGCCCTTTCGCTACTGGAAGATGAGAATGCTGAATTACAGTGCCTCGTCTAATGAGCTTCATGACTATCTGTGTCGGGAGACAGTGGAATCTATACAGGATCATACAGACGGGGTTGCCGAGAAGCTGCTGAACGTAGTTTGTAAGGTGAAGTCATACCGATCAGTAGTGCTTCCGCAGCTCAAAAGGCTGTTATGCCAAGAGATGAGCGAAGCGAAAAATCGGTAGGTGATCGCCAAAGGCGCTACCGAGCGTGTGTGGAACACAATTGTAGAGGCATATGAGCAGAACCAATAAAACTACATCAAACTGAAAACGAGGGTGAGGGTGCCAATAAATCAAAGGAAGGGTGTGTGGGTGTGGGTGTGGGTGTGAGTGTTGGTATGGATGTGGTTGTGGCTGTGAGTGTCGGTATGGGTGTGGGTGTGGGTGCTTTTGTTTCCTTTAGAGCCACTCCAACCCACCCACACCCACACCCACACCCACACCCTCCTGTAATAGGACTGTTTGCGAAAAACACTTGACTTGGCATATAGTCACGACTAAAAAAAAAAAGAACTAGTCTTTTCATCTGTTCTTTGCTCTCTTCGAAATTTTAGAAGTTTTGGTATTTTAAAAAGACAGCAAGTGTTGAGCTTTCTGTTTTTAGTAGTCAATCTGTGACATGTTACAGAGTCTAGTAGAAGATATATTCCATCCGTATTACTTGGAATTCTGAAGAGAGTATACTTCGATCACCATGATTGTCTTGAAGTTTCTAGTTTGGAATTACTCTTTAATAATAAACAGTTATGTAAAATACTTAAATAAAAGGATTAATACGTTCTCGTATAACTGATGTACATTAGATAAAGTACAATTATTTTTTCAGATACTTTTCAGCCTTGAAGAATTCAGATATGAGATGTCGGAACGAAAACATTTGTTGTATCTGTTGTCTAATTTTAGCATTTTTATCAATGATCGAAATTATGGTTTCAACATTGGAAGGTTGAAAAGATACCAGTGCGGGATATAATTGTCATGAACTATACTGAAAATGTTTTCTGGATATGGATGGATCAATTCTGCTACCCATTTCAAAAAATAGGCGGGTAGGTATTCTTTGAATAACTTTTGATAAAAACAAGATAGAGAGTTGCGGTTTTCACCGTTGGAAAGAGGCAATGAAATCGCATCGATTTATATATTTTAGATTTTTCTGACAAGTATTTTAAGGGTTCCTCGACAAGTTTTCAAAAGACAAAACGTTACATCATGTGAATGTTATGGACTTTTATGTTTCAGGGGGACACTAGAATTAGTAACGAAAGTTGTATCAGCTATATAAACCCGACATTATTATCTTTAGCTAATCATGAGTTTTGAACATGTTACTGTTTGTTTTCGGCTGATTTTTAGCGAAAAAATTGGTTTTTTTCTTAGTCCTTAATAAAAAATTAATTTTTTTCCACGTCTAAAATCCTTGATTTTTTAAAAAAATTTCTGAGAAAATCTTTTAAATACTTGTGAGAAAAAATCTGAAATACACAAATCGATGTAGTTTCATCACTTCTTTCCAAACGGTGAAAACAGCAGCTTTCTCTCTTGTTCCTATCAAAAGTTATTCAAAGAATACCTACCCGCCTTTTTTTTTAAATGGGCAGTGGTTTCATTAAATATATAGTTTTGCTACATGTTTTGGTCATTTGTTGCACAGTTAATTTTTATTTCATTCATGTGATGAAAAGAAAGTGATGCATTTTTTCAGTTTAGTAAAACATTATAAATTCAAAATTAATGGAATATATTACTAGGATTTTTGGAATGTGATACCAATGAAATAATTGAATAAAGTTGATTCATATTTCAAATATTCACATGCAAAGGTTTTTTAAATATTTGATGTGGTTGTAGACTCACGAACTCTATTCTTGCGATAGATCATTTGTTGTTATAATGTCTTATTAGCCAAGAACAGAAGCACTCTAGATAAGTATTTTTCTTCCAAAGAAAATAAAATATGAAATCAAGATAAAAGCACGTGTGATATTATTTCTTCCCATGATACGATTTACTATCTAAAGTAATAAAACAGAATTGCATTCTTTAAAAAAAATTTGCATGAATTATTTTTTTCATAAGTAACAAACAAACAAAGAAACCATTATGAAATTTGAAAGTTTACCAAATAAGATATTCTTGCATTGTTTTGAATATCTCAATGCTCCAGACATATTCTACGCATTTGAACAATTAAATCCTCAATTTTATCGATTAATTCGAACGATTCCATTACGTCTCAATTTTGAAGATATTAACAAATTAATCTTTGATCGATTTTGTGAGAAAATGTTAGATTATACAGAAATTCAACAACAAATCTATTCATTAAAACTATCAAATGAACAAGCATACTGTCAAATTCAAGCATTCTTCACGTACTTCTCATTGGTTGAATTCACTCGACTTCGATCATTAACTTTAATTGAGATCAAAGAAAATGATATAGAACAATTATCATCAACATTACCATTACTCTCACAATTAATGTGCCTTCGATTGATTCCTTCTCTATCAGTTTTTTATACACTCCTCGATAAACTTCCAAAATGCAAACCAAACATATTGTCAACACCNATGTATGATACGAATTTAGTCGTTGCATTTTTCTATGGATAATGTATAATGCATAAGTAAACAAACGATATCCGATAAAGAAATCTCTGTTCAATAAGACTAGACTACTCAACAAAAATATCAGAAATTATGTTATAGTATATTTTGAAAATAATCAGACTTGTATGATGAATTGAAGAACTGTTTGTCAGTCATGATTATTGTACGAAACACTGACGAAAAGAGTCGGGCTTTATTTTTACCTACATCCACATCATTGGGAATGATGATGAATAGAAACAGAAAGGAAGACGATGAAGAAAAAATAAAGAAAAAAACCCATGAGTCAATATTAGTAGTATGAAATTGAATAATTTTATTTAATTTCATTGCAAGAATGCGATTAGAGGCTGATGCCTTCCGTAAAATGTAGTAGATATTCTCTAATTTCGTTCATTTTCAAGGTTTGTTCATCAAAGTACATTCATTACTGAAAATATTAAATCTTCATTCATTGTGCTATGTGAGTTGATGTGATTTCTTATTAATAAGATAAACGGTATATGATTGTTAATAAATTAATCCCATTCAAGTCTATAAATAGAATCAGCAATATACATGATCTTATCCATACTGTTATTGTTCGCTAACATGGAATTTTACATCATACAAAATGATGAAATTCTATGGCAGAAGTTTCTTGAATGTTGTACGCATTAGTTTTAAAATTGAAACCAAGTTGGAAGTTGCTATCTACTTTAACTTTCTACTGTTGTGTTCAAACCATCGAATACATACATATCTCTTGAATTATATTCACTAATGTAGAGATAAATTGTCACAATCTTAATATTGAATTAATCTTTCCGCTAGAAGTCGTTTATTGTAACAAAGATGTTTACTCTTTTCATTTTCTCTGATGATGCATTCTAGTACTGGATTTTTTTTAGTATCAAATTATTATTGCTATATGGCTGTTGATTATAAATATCGCGGATCAAAAAGATTAATCTCACCTAATTAAAAGCTATTTTTGATATTGTCTTCACTTGAATATTTTAAGAATTGACTGATTTTTTTGTCATAATCAAAATATTTTATTTAAACTGTAGAAGAATTTGTATTACTCGAAACGATTTTAATTCTTTGGCTTAGATTCATTTGTAAAACTGCAAAAAATGCTTCTTTTATTTAGTCATAATACTGTGGATGTTTTTGTTAGGTTTTCGTTTAGCAACCGTTCATGTCTATTAATACGAAATTCGTATATGCCTCTGTATTTTCTTTACTTTACAGTATTACATGATCCAATATTAGCATCGTACGTCTCCATAACTGCATATGATATAATACGATGCTTTAGGAAGAAAACAATAGACCGTATATACTTCGTTGGAACGATAATGATAAACGATGGGTGTGGGTGTTGGTATTCTAATCTCTCACACCCACAGCCACACTCCACATCCAACTCCTAATTTTAGTTCCTTTTTGTTGTTTGTTCATTTTATTTTTTTGTATAACAAGTTGGTTAAAAAAGTATAGATTTTATAATATTTCTATGAATTTTCAATGTTCAATCGATTGATTCGATCTTATTCAAAGCATAATATATATATAAGATCTAAAAGTACGATAAAATTAAAAGCAAATAACCACTAATTTGACGAATTGACAAGCTAAAAAATAAAAGGAAAATGTTAGACAGAAAGAAAAATAACACTATCGCTCAACATGACTATATCCATATTTATTCTTCATTGTCCTCATCGACAGCAGTGAAGAAATGAACTCATACGTGTATATATATATATAGATGACGGAATATTGAACCGTATAGATAATCATTGCTGGAAATGTCTACAGCAGGTATAAATGGCATCAATATACTCGATTTGTCCGATGAAATATTACTTGCTGTCATCAACAGATTGAATATGATCGATGTACTTTATTCATTGGTGGGTGTAAATCAACGATTTGATCGACTAGTACTTGATCCTCTTTATATTCAACATCTGGATTTAATGGTTGAATCATTGCTTAAGAATAGCTTTTCAGTGAGCAAACAAGTTCTTGATAGAATTTGTGAAGAAATTTTGCCTCGAATTAATAATAAAATAAACAAACTCATTGTTGATCGATATTCTATGGAATGTGTGCTTCGTGATGTTGTCTATCCTCAACTTTATTCATTAACACTTGCCAATTTTCAACGAGTTACACTTTTACCATATTTAACAGGTATATTGTTTTTCTAACTTGCACTGATTTAATCAGCAAAACATTTCTGTATATTGAAGGTGATACAAAACTTCGTTATCTTCTCACTGATCAAATCACACATCTTAATGTTCATATCATTGATGAAATAATAACAGAATTAGATGATGAAAATGAATCAAATTTATTTGCATTAATATTATCGATGGGTAAACATCTAACTGATTTGACTTTTAATCAATGGTTGTGTTATAAAAAGTCACCAATTTCAATATTTCATATGCCATTGACAAGTTGTATTTCTTCAACGCTCATTAAATTGAATATTGATGTCAACACTTTTGATGATTGTCTTTATCTTCTTGATGGACGTCTTCATTCTTTATCTACATTAATCATTAATATTCTTAAAATTTCCGCTCCATTATCAAATATTGATAACACAGTAAGAATACATTTAATTATTCGATACGAATAAACATTAAAACAGAAATACATCGTTGAATTCTTTTTTTATAGAAACAACTTCCCAAACTCAAATGTTTCTCATTAATTACATATCTTCGGACATATTTTTATGATAGTCTAGTTGTACCATTACTATGTCGAATGCCAAATATTGAAGAATTAACATTATGTCTATCGATAATAAGAACTGAATCGACTTATATTGATGGTACTCATTTATATGATGAAATTCTTATTCATATGCCACAATTAAACAAATTTATTTTCAGTATAAATACTCTTGTTTTCAACAAGAATGTTAGAATTAATCTTCCATCAAACAATGATATTCAACATAGTTTTAGCAGAAGAGGATATCAACAAATTGGTTCATATACTCATGACAAATCAACAGAAACAGGAAACATATGTCATGTCTATTCATTTCCATATGAATTTCATAATTTTTTCTATATGACCTCTCATTTTCAAGGTGGTATGTTTGATAAAGTTCGATGTTTGATAATGACTGATCTAGAAAATCCTTTTGAATATGAACTTTTTCAAATCATCTCGCATTCTTTTCCTTTTCTTCAAAAACTAGCTATATGTAATTATCAACCACAAAGAAAGCAATATTCATTTCCAATCATCACCTTTCCTTATCTTCTCATTCTCAATCTTCAAAGGGCAAATATTGATTATGTTGTTCAATTTCTCTGTGACACAAAAATTCGTCTGCCTTGTTTGTTGGAACTTACAATTACATATGAATCACTGGCAATGGCAACAAACAGTTTTACGAATAATGAAACACGTCTCACTTGTGCTTGTTTGCAATCTATTGTTATATATGGTTCATATGTTCGTCCAGAAAATTTTCGTACATATTTTTCTTCATGGAAAATATGATTTGTTTTAAAAATTGTATCAATAAAAAAAAATATTTGAAAAAAATTTGTTATTCATTTTGTTTTATGATGACCTGTATTCACTATAGAAATGAGCAAATTTATTATTCTAAATCATAAGAATATGGTTGATTAATTTCATTAGAGATATATACTAGATCATTTGTATATCGATTAGGTATTCAAGATAGTCATCTACATTTTTCTAATATTGCTCAAGTAACAAATTCGACTGATGAAAAGAATGATCATGTTAGTACGAAAATATTCAAATGTTTATGTTTTTTAACAACTGGGTTATACAAGAACAGTATGAAAGACTATTAAAGACTACATTTAGTTAGTTAGTTGTTGGCCATCACTGACATGATTTATCTTTTTGTTTTTTCTTTATCATTTATTTCTAAAGTATTTGTTATTAAACCACAATAATTTTGTTTTGCTACTTCATATTTCATTTATTCTTTTTCTTTAATTTCATCAGAAGACTCTCCCGTTTCATTTGCTTCCTGTGTTATTTTAATAGAATTGATTGTTGTATCAAATTGTTCCAAATTAGTTAAAGCGTGGTCGAATGCCTAATTCACAGAAAAAAGAATTAGATATAATAACAAATACAGAATCTAATACTCTTACCTCTGTTTTTAATGGAATGTTGATTTTTTCAGTAGTATAATTTAGATGAACATTTTTGTTTATTCGTTGAAGGCTATCATATAGAAAATCAAGAAAATATTAGTTAAAAATAGAATTTAATGTTTTTTACCGTTTATTTTCAATTTCATATCGATGAACAGCTTCACGAAGTTTATTACACTCATCTTTAATTGTATCATAATCAGCCTGTTGAAGAAGTTTTTCAGATAATTCACGATTTTGTTCCTCTTGAAAATGAACATGAGAATGAATGAATGAAATTCATAAAAGAATACAGTTCACGTAAATTGAAAGTATACCCTTTGAGTTTTCGTGTTTTCATTGCCATAACTTATTTGTTTTTAAACTTATTCTATATAGGGAGAAAGCCCAGAACTTGCTGCATCTTTCAGTATATTTACTTTGAACATCAAACGCAGTTTAAAATGTAAAAGTGTATTGGAAGAAGAAAGACATTTTGTTAATTTACACGGTGCCTACAATGCTGTAACATTTTCTATTTCGTGCATATCGTGGCTTAAATAAATGATAAAACTTTGAATTTTTTCAAAAGGTGCGCCGTGAAAAGCTTTACAAAAGCTGTATGATTGAATTCCTTTTTTTACCTGTTTTAATGGTTTTTCTTATACTCAAAATGAACAACTTTTATAGCAGTGTGACTTCCAATCATACTGAAAATGTTGGAAGACTTTTTTGTTCTGCATATATCTCGACTTGAGAAAATGATGGAATATTGAATTTGCTTTTAAAAGATGCGCCGTTGAAAACTCTACAAAACTTGTATAGACCAAATCCTATAGCGAATCGGAAAATTTCTCGAAATATTTTCTATATGATGGTAAGTAATACTTCTACCCATAAGTTGTTCATTTTGAGTATAAAAAAATTATCAGAACAGGTAAAACGGATTCAATCATACAGCTTTTATAGAGCTTTTCACGGCGCATCTTTTGAAAAAATTCAAAGTTTTATCATTTATCTAAGCCGAAATATGTGCCAAATAAAAAAATTATGACAACATTATGGACATCCACTTTTGCAAAAGAAAAAAAAATGTCCTTTTTCTACCAATACACTTTTTACATTTTAAACTGCGTTTGATGTTCAAAGTAAATATATCAAAAGATGCAGCAAGTTCGAGGCTTTCTCCCTATATAGAATAAGTTTAAAAACAAATAAGTTATGGCAATGAAAACACGAAAACTCAAAGAGTATACTTTCAATTTACGTAGACTGTATATTTACTTACTTCATTGTAGCGTTGCTCAAGATCAGCATATTTATGTTGAAGATCATTTAATTTATATTGAACATTAAATAAATCTTCTTGAAAACCATTCGATTGTTGGGGTGTGGGTGTGGGTGTGGGTCCTTCTTATCTTTGTCCACCCCCACATCCACCCATACCCACCCTATGGGGCATAATACAAGACCCCGCTGGAAAATTTTTACGCTGAGACATGATAGAAGATCCGGGGTCTTCTATTACAGGGGGGGGGGGGGGGAGGGGATTTTCGGCATTAAGATAAGGGATGTCACAGGAGATGAGGAAGACGCAATTGAAAAGCAAGGATTCTTCTTCTTGATGATATTCTTAATTAAATTACATATTTTGTTATTAAATTCGTACTTTTGACATTTACTCTCATAGACCTTTTATCGATATGGGCATTTTATTTTGTAACACAACACTTCACATCAGTTGTGTTATGTTGATCTTTTTCTCTTTATCTCTCACTTTTTATAAGTCAATGTGAGTTTAATTATCAACTATTCCGCTGTTCTATTACCAGTCATTCAGTAAAACAATTTCACGCATATTCGTCTACAACTCTTGATTATAAAGGAAAAAAATTTGAATTAATATACTCAATTGTATTTTTCGATTTCAAAAAAAACAAGCTCGCACAAAACGCTTCATCAAGATATTAAGTATGTATATAAAGGGACTCTCTTGAATGCTTGATCGTTTAAGAGAAATCGTAGATGAAGTAATAAACATCAAACGGTTTTGTATTTACATTGAGCTCTAGTGGAGGTTGAATTTACTACAACAGGTAAACATGAAATAACACACATTAGTTTAATCTACACGCAGATTTTAAGCGTTACATTATTCTAGATAATCGCTCGGATACGTATTTTGAACTCAATTCAGGGATTTTCATAGTTCATTATTTATATCATTTTCCAATAATAAGAACTATTAAACTTTGTATTCATTAGTATGATTTATTGGCGCTTCAATCTTTTCAGTATTTGAGCTGAATTTAAACTGAATATCAACTTCCTTGATATGTACCACAATTGATAAACATGAATGCTCGAAGAGATTTTGACTGTATTGAGAATAGTACGATTGCACATTGTAAATTCGGGATTTTTTTGAAAATAAGCATAAATCTTACTGTCGAGTATTTCATTCGAACTATACATATTCCAACGGCTTCAGTTATACGCATTTATGTTGAACTTTCACTTAGTTGGTAGTTTCAATATCGTTGTAAAGAACACATGG